TGTCAACATGGAGTCTGAGAAACTGTAAAGATGGGAGGGCAAGCCTGTCTACTTTTGTCTTGGGACCCAAATCCTAGGATCGGGCTGAATGCTCCTAAGATCCTCCTGCCCAACAGCTCACAGCCGTTTTCCCACCATAACACAGTGGAGGGATGTCCCACGCTCCCCTCAATAACACGGGCTCCCTATGGCCATGATTCTCAACCAACAGAAGGAAGGTGGACATGTTTGAAAAAGCCCCTCAGGAACTCAGAAGGCAGGCCTGTGGGCTTTGAGGCTCACTAAGTACTAAACCTGTAATTTTACAGATGAAAATCCTGAGGTCAGAGAGATGGAGTTTGCCTGAGTGTTAGGATCCACCAGAGCCAGGACTGATCCCCAACCACCCGACTACCAGTCCCTGCCCCTCCCTCTACTTCCAGTTTCTTTAGCAAGGGCTAGTAAGTCCTCTTTTGGAATTCTCCTCCCCCAATTTCCCAATCCCAGTCTAAACACAGACTCCTAACGTTTAGATCTGGAATTGCTCCTGATTATTCCTGACAGAGCTAGCAACGGGCATCCTGAGCACATGCATGAGGTTCTTGTACAAGGAGTTCAGGGACTGGCTGGACTCCATTTGCTACTTTGAAAGTGTAGGCAGTTGACCTTTGACTGGTTTCAGCAATGGCTAGCAAGACAGGATCAACTCTGGCTTTTAAAAAGCTCTTAACTATTTCCATAGCATTGTGCTCATCTGAGAGCTTGGGAACAATGTGCAGTGTCACCAGTCCATCCTGATAAGGAGCAGTGAATAACTCAACAGCTAAGGCAGAGGTAACTGATGGAGGAAACCATATGCAGTTGTTTAGCTCACTGAATTCTCAAGATCAATCTTCTCAAATTATCTGGCTTCATTTTGGACTAACTCCAGTCAGGCTTCCAGATAATTGATCCTAAGATGCCTAGGAAATGCAATTAAAGGTCTACTAAATGTACCTTGAAAGGTTAGTTCTATTTCAAGATACCACGAAATCAAACCTCAAGGTAAGAGTACTTCAGGCTGTTTTCCCTGAGAACAAATGTAATAATGGTAGTTTATGTTGACTTTACTTAATTTCAAATAAATAGGGTATGTCCTAGACTTAAAGCAACAACTCAGCATACCCTAGACACCCAACTTTTCCCAAAGAGAGCATAGTAGTTATCTATTGTTGTGTTAACAAATTACTCCAAACATAGTGGCTTATACAACGAACATTTATTATCTCACAGTTTCTGTGGGTCAGAAGTTTGGAAGTGGCTTAGCTATGTGGTTCTGGCTCAGGGTCTCTCACGAGGTTGCTGTCAAGGTGTCAGCTGGAACTGCAGTCATCTGAAAGTTAGACTGGGGTTGGAGTATCTGCTTCAAGGATGGCTCCCTCACACAGGTGCTGCCAGTTCCTCCCTCATGATATGGCAGCTACCTTTCCCAGAGCAAGTGATCCCAGACAGAGCAAAGGGGAAGCAATGCCTTTTTCTTACCTTCTCTCGGAGTGACACACTATGACTTCTATATTCTATTTGTTGGAAGGGAATCACTAAAATTCAGCCTGTACTCAAAGGGAAGGGAATAAAGCTCCACCTCTTAGAAAGAAGTATATCAAGGAATTTGTGGATAGATTTTAAAACTACCACAGATACCAAAGCATTATTTCCTTATTTGCTAACAACAACTTACCAGTGTCCACTCTACCTTCCATTATTTTCTAATTAATTTTTTTAAACCAGCAAGATAAATATCTTGTCAAATATCCAGGCAGAGAATTAAAGTAAACCAATTTCTGGAAGGGCAGGTCCACTAATGATAAGTTTCCTGAGGATGAGCTTCATGTTATTAAAGACAAAAAGAATAATAAAACACCCTCCAACCCCAACTCCCCCAAAAAGCTCAAAACATTTCTTAGGCAAGAGAGGCTAAATAACAACTTATAAAGGAATAAAATAATAATCAATGCACCAAGTATCTTTCTTTTCCCCAAATATCTATTAATATCAATTTCTTTCCTACACAGAAGTCGATCCATGGTAAAATACTTTTATTCCATCCTAACTTAAGGGATATATGCTGAGTATAAAAACTGTACATGTCCTCAGTACAGGCCATATTGTAATTGTTTCCACCTAGTGGATAAAAATGGTACTAAAAGGGACTGAAAAACAAAATTTGCTTCATAGATACTTCATGAGTTACACACTTCCAGATGTGCAACTTTGCACAATACCACATACTTGATGTCTATGGGTAGCTTCCCCCTCAACAAATCCTACAGAAATTCCTTTTATAAAGCAAACAATCTTTGTTTTACAAATATAAATGTTCATATACACTGCCATCCCTGGAATTCTCCAGGCCAACAACCTGGAATACTGCTAAGAACCAAAAAATAATCCAAAAAGTCTCCCAGCAGCCAACAGATGTCTCAGTGTCTACACACTGAAGCTCCGTTAGACTGACAATGAAAAGAGCAGAGAAGAATTGGAAGCCTGGCACATGGACCTCAATGAGGATTTAAGGGAACCAGTAAAGCCCATGCATTTTACTCCAAAGGAGAGTCCTTCTCCTGAACCTCATTCTTCTTTCCTACTTTACACACTAGTCCTAGAAAGCTTTGTCTGAATCCTAATCTTACAGCAGATCTGAAGGGGCAAGAAGAACTAACTCAAGGAAGTTCAATTTTGACAAGCTGTTGAGATTGACAACTGACAGCAAATAAGAAAGTGTTGGAAAACAGACACAAAACAAACCACATCATTCTTAGAGCCAGTCAGTGTACAATCAATGCAGTACAACCTGAGTTTATGACAATAACTGTGGTTATAAAGAAATGGTTATGTTCCATACACTGTTTAAGAATGTTAACACATTTTGAAAAATATTTTTTGATAAGACATTTTTTAAAGCTTTGTTGCTTAAAAGAATGAGTTCTTAATCATTTGGAAAACATGGTTATTCAGAAAAATGAATTTCCTGAGGGTTCCAAACAATTAAAGCTGGATAGATATTTCAAGCAGAAATTAACTAAAAAAATAATTTTACTACTGCCACTCACATTGAAATAAATAATTTTACTATTGTCAGTCACGTTAAATATTAAGTATCCTCAATTAGTTGTGTTAATTTTTCTCTTCTTTATTTTTTTAAACCAATGGAGCTTATTTTTGAAATAGCCCAGGGTAGAGTCCTCCCCAGCCCCACCCAAACATCCACATATTCACTGTTGGCATGAAATAAGCAAAGGTAACATCCTTGTTAAGAAACTTCAAAATCTGCAGAAAGTTAAAAAGTGAAAAGTACAAGTCTCCCTCTTAGTTTCTGCTCACCTCCTGCACCCGACAGACATTCAAACATGATGACAGATGCAGCAACGCCCAGTTCCTCAGTCCATTTTTTGAGCAATAACCACTTAAAAATTTTGTATGCATTCTTCAAAAACAAATGTTAATGCATATAAACACGTCCTTTAGGAAACACAGACACCATGGAATTTATCCATTCCTCAGTCATCACTTTGCACTTTAATACATAGGTGTTTCTTTTTGGTTCTCTTCTCCCTTCAATTTCTGAAAATTAAGCTTAAAAAAACTTCCCCAAATTCTATATCCTAAGTATTCTTTTCCTTTGTGTTAAGAACAAAGACAAAATAAAAAAAAAACCTATGAAGAATATCCTAATTTCTAATATCGATGAATTTCCTAACTGAAGACAGCAATAATTTCTTTTTCTCCTATAAAACTGTTTTTTAACTGTAACTTAGTCTTTCAAAGGGTATGTTTTTCACATAATTTAAGTTAATTCAAAATGTAACTGACTATCTACTATGTGCAAAGCACTATGCAATGTACCAGGCAGACACAGCCCCTACCTGGGAAGAGCTTGGTGCTCATAGGGTAGAGGTAGGGAGGGTTAGCGGGAGAGAAAGAAGCAAATATGATAGCAACTTACCGAAGGCTGAAGAGGAGGCCGGGGCCGTGCCTGGTTAAATGGAAAGGGCAGCAAACAGCTGGCCACTGACTGGTGAAAACAGACCTGGCACTCACTCTTGTGTGCTTCCCAGCTTCCTCCCTGCTTCCTCACCACCACCTTCTTCCCACCTGTTCTGAGCTTGACTACTTCCAAATAATTTTGATCACTACTAGATGACAATGGGACAGTGGACTTTGACTAGAGTAACAGTGCCAAAGGCCTGAAATGACAAAGGAAAGCCAAACAGCAAACAGCACTTTTCCTCACTGTGTAGATACCTTTACACGTGATTTTACCTTTGTAATTCCTTAAAATGTTTTCTTCCTACCTAAGGTAGAGAGGGGGTGTAAAACCACAGGGGTGCTGCCCAGATCACGGAGGTAAAAAAGAAATAATAATTAGAATTCAGATGCTTTAAAAAAAAAAGGTGAGGAAAGATTCAATAAAGAGCCACTCTTGTAAAGTACAAAACGACATAATAGCTCCGGGGAGGCACATCATCCTCTGTCTCTTCATGACAAAGACAGTGTGACAAATAATTTTGGCTGTAGTACCTTAAAGTAGTCATTATAAAAAGGCTATGTTTTTATTCTAAATGAGCCAGAACTCTAAAGAACCTACCAACTTGTCCTTCCCCTCATCTCCATGGCTATGGTCCTCTCACAGAAATAACAAAAGATAAGAAAAGGAAAAAGGGACAAAATGTCAGCATGAGTAATGTTTTTCCATCCACTCAGGCATTTATATATATGAACATATTTGTGGATTTTTCAAAGAAATATCTTCTTGCTTTTTGGGCTGAATCTGCAAATAAGGCACTCAAATCACTACATAACAGTATCCATAAGAAAACAGAAACCACGTGACACTGAAATGGTTACTAAATATAGATGTAGTGTTAGGTATTCTAATTATTAGAAAAGTCTGCTAGGAAATGGCTTATGTAAGCTTCTTGCTTCAAAATATAATAATTTTAGATATGAAAGTTACTCATCTCTGATGAAAATTCTGGACTACATTACCATTGAATAAAATATTTATTGTGATTTTTTCTCTTGGGACATAAGACTGTTTATTTTCCCTAGCTCTCCAAATGATACAGTTGCCGAACCTCTTTCAGCTGGTCTTGCCTGAAAATGATAAAGATTAAAGATATTAGAAATAAGTAAATATACAGCTCTAATTAAACCCCTTAATGCTGTCTTATGTTAACAACAAATTCCCCACCCTAAGTAAATAAACAATAAAAAGTAAATAGAAACATGAACCCACTAAGAAAAGTGATTTGTCTTAATAATGTTACCTGTGAATCATGGTATTTCCATCCTATCATGTAATAGATCTGGTATGTGGCAGGTACCGAACCATCCTCATTTCTGTACATTTCTATAAAGACAAATAAGGGTTAAAGTCTGAAAAAAAGGCAAGTAGAAAAAAAAATCTGCTCAATAAAAGTCATCTCCTCCAAAGAGAACTGGGTATTAGGATACTTGTAGGATCCTGAGAACGTCTCACATGACAAATCCTCACCCCTGAGAAGAGGACAGTCAGGAAATAGTAAGGGCTGTTTGGAAAAAGGATACGGAGCTACAGGATCTGTGTTTTGAAAGGAAGGACAAGAAATCTGATGGCGCCTTAACAAAAAAGGAAAAAGCACTGGCAATTTGAAGGGATAAACATCATGGGACACAAGTTCCTCAGGAGGCTGACGTGGAGAGCAGGGGCAGCCCCCTTACCTCCGTACACCGCTGCGGCCGCCAGCATCGTGTTTCGGTGCAGCAGGGCTTTCCTATTCCAAGCACAGTTGCTCTCCCCCATACCTAAAAACACACCACAGGCAGTTTCTGATAACTCAGCAAATACCCTGAGCAGCTCAATATCACAGATTTAACTCATCTCATCCAACAGTATACCCACCTCTATTCTCTAATAGTCACATAAAATAACCTAAATAGTCTCATTTCCCTCTCAGATTGTAGCTAGGCTTCTTAGTGACTCTAAGGCAAATTACTTGAAGCTTCTGGATATTAAGACAAGTGAAGAAGTCAAACTTCAGGCGGCAAGCCCCACAAACACACTTTACTTGCCAGCAGTGGTCTAAATTAGGAAGCCAGCTGAGCAAAAGCAAGGCGACTGGCCCTCCAGGGGAGTCATCAAAAACTGGCAAGTGCCTTTCCAAGGATGTCACATTTTATGTCCCTTTCAGCTGCCCTTCGAAGGAAGACTGGACACTGCTACAATGCCTCACTCCTTCTAAGCCATAAATGTAAGCAAGATCATGAAACTTGAAAGAGGGCTTTGAGACTCCTTAGAAAGTACCAAAACTACGATGTGTTTCAGATTTTACAATATTTTACCAATCTCAGATTAAGAAAGACTATGTGCATTCTTTTCAGGGGCACTTTTTTTGTTGTTGTTGAGGAAGATTCGCCCTGAGCTAACATCTGTAGCCAAACTTCCTCTTTTTTTGGCTGAGGAAGATTCACCCTGAGCTAACAACTGTTGTGAATCTTTCTCTATTTTCTATGTGAGCCACTGTCACAGCATGGCCATTGACAGACAAATGGTGTGGGTCCACGCCCAGGAACCAAACCCACACGGCCAAAGCAGAGCACACCTCTGTGCTTAACCACTAGGCCACCGGGGCCAACCCAGGGGCACTTCTCTTAATGTTTTAAAATTTATCTTTAGATTTCTTTCCCTCCAGCTGGTAGCTACAAGCTAGGTTAACATTATTCTATTGTTCATTAAAAATTAGTGTTGTATATTTGATTTTTCTTTATGCATATACTTAAAATTACTTTGAATGGCCTTATTTTAAACTAGTCTGCAAAATTAAAAGTTTCAAAAGTAAAATCTTTTATATTTATTCTCAATATACATGATCAAAAATCAGTTTCTTAGTTTTGGTTTTCTACTTTGACAAAAGAAACAAACTTTAGAAGCTTAAAAATAATCTCCCAAGTTTTTAACGACCTTATTAAAAACAATCAACAAATTAGCTGTAATAAGTAACCCTTTTTCTTCTTTCCAATCCCAAAAGGTTCCTATTCTTCCCTAAAATAATAGTTCTCTGATACTAAAAGCCATGTCCCGCAACCTGTGAGTATAAGAGCCCCAATTCATGATGAACAATAGACATACAAACTAGTAGATTAATCATCATGAAGAAGAAGGATGTTCTTATTCTTGTTATCACGAGCAGACAGATACTCTTAGACCAATCGCTCTGGGTCTGTAAGGTGGTCAGACTAGATGATCTCTAAAGGCTTCTAATGCTAACATTTTAGACTCATTACATAATCTAATTTAAAAACATTCTCCTACATAGTGAGTATCAACTATATGAAGAGATCAGAGGTAAACTGGAACTCATATTGGAAGAGTCTATTCTTGATGATGGCTGTGGTGCTTTCATTTCTGCTTAACTGCCCTTGCTATGACAGACTTACACATTAATAGAGGCAACACCAATGGAAAACAGATTTTTTTTTTTTTTTGCTCAGGAAGATTAGTCCTGAGCTAGCATCTGTGCCAATCTTCCTCCACTTTACAGGTGGGTCGCCACCACAGCATGGCTGACAAGTGGTGTAGGTCTATGTGCAGGATCTGAACCAGCAAACCCAGGCCACTGAAGTGGAGTATGCCAAACTTAATCATTATGCCATGGGGCCAGCCCCATAATTTTTTTAATGTAAATATTTACTGCACTAGAAATTTTAAAATGCCTTCTAAATAACTGGCATTAGGATATACTAATTAAGATTATTCGGCATAGTACTCTTTCTGAGACAGAAATTCAAGAGCACTACTGTACAGCATAGTTAGAAATTCTGCTGCTAGGGAGAGCAAGAGAAGTACAAAGCACATCAAACTTCCCTTCTCTCACAAGAGAAGTGCACAGCCATATCAAATTTCCCTTCTCCTTGTGGAAGGAGCAGTGTAATGTGGTGCAAAGAGTCTAGACTTTGGGATCACAATCCCAGTTCTGATTCTTAGGTAACCTGGGGCAAAGTCATTTAACCTCTATTAAACTCAGTTTTATCATCTTCAAAATGGAATGATAATACTTCATGATGCATCATGGTAGACCTTTACTGAAGACCACATGGGAAACACATTGGGGGACTTCTGACCAGCTCTGGGCTTTGGGATAACAGAAAAATCTGGGAAGCAGGTAATTAAGATTCTCACAGTGTTTTTAAGGGTAAGTTCAACTGCTTATAAAAAAGTCTAATTTATTACGGTTTACTAGGAACAATACTGAGTATTGTCTAAAAAAATAACTGAACTTACCTTAAAACTACTGTGAAAGCCTCCAAAACTTTTCATGCATTCATCAGCTGATATGCAACTTGTTTTGTAAAATTAGGTCAACGTTCTGGACTGTTTTCTGTGAATTAATAATAATGGCAGCTTAAATGAGAAACACCACAACCATCAAGAAAAAAGTGTAACATAATGTGAGCTACCAAAACCAATTTGAAGGTAGTATCTTCCAGTCTGCAAAGCACCACACCTGAAAATGTCCCAAGCTCCTCTGCTCCTCCCATCATCCCCGATCACTCTTCTTCCCATCTCAGTTGCCGCTGACCTTTTCACAGTAGAATGGTTGAGATTTCAGGATCTGAGTCAGGCTGCTACGCTAGCCTTAAATCCTGGCTCTACCACTTTCTAAATACGTCATCCTGGGCAAGTTACTTCTTTCTGTGCCTCAATTTCCTGATGTGTAGCAAGAAGTTAACCATGATAGTTCTAGTCTTACCTTCCTCATAAGATATGCCTCATAAACAACACTGGAGGGTGAACTCTCTAACACACTAACCCGACTGTCTCTTCTCTGTGCAAAATTCTTCCAAGACACTACAAGGCTCACCTGATAGAATCTAGAAGCCTCTGATGGACTATCCCGCATCACTTTCCATCAGCTCCCCAATCTACATGTTCAACCAATAGTGACTTACTGTACACTTCCTAACTAGGAAAGTAAAGGAAATATGTATCCTCTTACATCTCTATCATTTTACGCAACCCATTTCCTTGGCTTGGAATGCAATGTCTTCTCCACCCCCCCCCCCCCCCCCCCCACCCCCCCCCCCCCCTT